GGCCCTCCCCGCCGCAGCCCGCCCAGCCCCTGCCCCGGCCGACGTCTCCAGTGATGCATAAGGATCCCGTGGTCCCCGGCTGCGGCAGCCTCGAACAAGGCTTTGGGGTCGGCAGCCCCGTATCCCAGTGTTTTGATTCCAGCAGAGACATCGTGCTTTCCATACCAGAGCCTTTCTCCCAGACTCCCTTTGCGAAGCGTTGGAAGGCACAACCCGCCACCCACCACAGTCCTGGGGCCCTCCAGGTGTGGCAGCAGGTCCCTCTCCCTCCTCCTCCTCACCGGGCTGAAGCAGGCGGCAGAGGCTGGGGAGGGAAAAGTGCTTTACGCTTACAGGTGTGTATTCCCTCTAGGAATAATCATCCCAACCATACTCTTGTGAAATTGCAGCCCTTCAAACGCCGAGGTAAATGAGACACAAAATGAGCAGATGGAGAAAAGCCCGGAGCACATAAATCTGGATGAGGCAAATTTATACAATTAAATGCCTGCCAAAAAAATTGCGGCATCTCAATTGGCGGCGTTGTTTTGAGCGCGGGGCGGGAGTGGCGGCTGCCCAACTCTCACAGGGTGTCCTGCAGCCCCACACAACCTACGGACGGCTCACACGGACACGCACACAACCTCGTGTCCTCCTGGCCTGTCCCGGATTCGGAGTTGAGCACAGACTGAAGCATGTATGTGAATCATGGAAGTCCCTTGCGTGTGTGCACCCAACGCAAACCCTTGCACCACAAGCACACCCCCAGCAGACCCCAAACTCACACCCCATGGCCCGAGCTCCGGTGGAAGCAGAAGACAACATCTGTTCCTCCTTCAAAGCCACAGATTTTCAGTCTGTGTCACTGTCTCCCGCTGCTCCCCACGGCCCACCTGGCTTCCTCCGTCCCACTAAAGAGACACGCGTTGTTTTGTGCTGTTAGGGTCTTTTGTGCTCCCAGATCCCCACGGGCATCAAAGCGCAGAGGCAGGGTCTCCCCTGAGGACGTCCTGCCACATGTCCTTGTCACCTCAGAAAGGGCTGGCTGGAGTGCGTCACGCGGGTAGAAAAAAGGTAGCTAGTGAGAAAACCAAAACGGCGTCGATCATCATTAGGTGCTTTGGGGACCAAAGTCAACAGCTGTCCGGAAAGCACAGGAAACCGAGGTATGAGAAAACACTTAGGACTCGAGGGAAGCTTGGGCTCTATCTAACCCATGAGACCCCCCCAATATGCGCAAGGAGAGTTTTCCTTGCCTGGAATTAAATGCCAAAGCTCCCCTCCATTCGCATACTGTGGGAAACCAGACTCGGCAACCCTTCTGACGATCCACCTTGAAGGACTCTCTGCTCTCACAGCTGCAGGGAATCCAACCTTCGCCTGCCCAAGCCCAGCCCTGCACGGCCCTGGCCGGGACGCGAGACAGAGCTGCTCAGTGGGCGCGCGCGAGGGCTGCGTGCGCGTAGGAGCCAGCTTGTGCTCCTGCAGCAAGAGCCCAATGACTTCATCAAGGGGATGGCATCTGGTTTTGCTGTTGGACATAATTCAATTCTCCCCCTCGCTGCAGGAATTTCAGCTGGCGAAGCAGTGATTTACTAAGCCGGGCTGCACTTGAGTGCAAAGCAATCTGTGGGCTGCAATCGAACGCCTGGTTATTCTTAGAGCTCAGGGACAAGGAAATAAATATCCTGGTGATGGGAGCTCTTCTTTTAATCCCGGTAGTTGCCAACTGCAGGTTACAAAGCTTTCTAAAGGCATTCAGCAGCGCTCCCCTTAGAAGTGCCCTCCTGGTACCCTACGCCGCCGGGCAGGGCTCTGCCCACACGACCTGCAGCATCAAGACAGGATTTGCTAGGACGCACAGAAAAAAGGCCTGAGCTCCTCGCTCGCCCTGCCCCAGCACCGCTGCATCTCTGAGCATCCTCCTTTCCCCCCGCGCAGCCCTGCCAAAGCCTGCGGTGCTTTCTGGGATATGCCCATCAGGGAGCCGGAAGAGAGACCGCAAAACTCATTGTCGCTGTGGCCAGAGCCGGCGCTGCAGCCCGGGTCTCCGGAGACAGCAGGTTGGTGCGGAAACCAAGCAAAGCCCCCAGGTTAGGAAGTTGTTAGGGCCGCACGGCCCGGCGAGCGCTTTCATGTGCACGGCTGACTCGGTGCAGCTGCGCAGGCCACAGAGAAGGAAACCTCAGCTGCTGGCGCTGTAAACCCTCAGTCACTCTTAATATTCCTCCCAATCCCAGTAACCGAGGGCCTGCAATCTAAAGAAGGCAATTTCGAAGGAAGAAAAAGCAACACATCCACCCTATCTGCATTAAAACAGGCGCCGCCTGTTAGCCCCACACGGTCTTGCTGGCAGTGGCAGAGGGATCCCTGCTCCGAGTCAGAGACCAGCTTCAAGCGAGCAACACAACAGGGAAGCGAGAACATCTCCAGGTTTACGTTTGAATCCCTGCCTCCTTCCCTGCCCTACCAACACGGCGGGCCGGAGCG